AAAAAAACAGTGGGAAATTACAAAAAACGTATATTACAGAGCACAGAGAAAAGTCTTCAGGCGAAAAAGGATAGTTACAAATAACAATAAACACGACTTCTGCAACAAGTCTCTTTTCCTTACTTAAACACTCCTCCTGCAGTCCACAACGTTACCTCACTGTATCCGAGTCAAGCGACTGCCGATTGGGCAGAACACTGACCTTAATGTAGCCTGCCTGCCCCCTCCCACATTACAAAACCAATCATCAAAATAACAAACCATAATCTACATAAGCATGGCGCGTTCCTTAGGTACAAGATTTCACATTACATTCTACATTGACACATTACAATAAAATAAATTATGAGCACACTACGAAGAGTCCCACATGTCCATAGCAAATAGCTGTGGTCACATGACCCCAGACAGTTGCACTTACAGTCGGGTTCTCACCCCCGCTCCTCTGATCTGTACGTCACTCACATTTTCCTGTTCAAACCTTCTTCTAAATGCCGTAGCCTGAGGACTAAAGGGGGCGTGAACGAGACTGGGCCGATTACATTAATTGGCTCTGGGCGGGGCTGCTGATACGTCAGTCCAACTTCTGTGCCATGTTTGGCGCCAGATTCAAAATTCATAATGTAGTTTAAACAGGTCGCCAGCAGATGCGCTCACGGACGGTTTTAGGCAAAAGTCTAACTTTCAACTAATTTTGCACCATAGTTGACAAGATTAGAGACCAGGAAATGTGGACAACACGATTGGACACTCATTTATACGTTTATTCAGCAAAAAAAGTGGATTTTGAGAGTGTGTTGACCTTTAATCGACTGGCTCCTTATTTCCAGTTTTGCCCAAACGCACCGTGAGACGCCACACCTCGCCACACACAGGCGAGTGAATGACACAAGTAACAGATTTAACACACCTTGCAACGCTTCCAATGTGACCTGAAGACTCGTTCATTATGGGTAAGGTTACTGACAATAAAGACGTGCATACTACAAAAAAATTCTGCAAATTTTATTGGTATCTTGTGCAAAAACATATTTTATTATTCATGATTAAGATAAAACAAACAAAAAAATACATAATATTTCCGAATTAGAATAAAAAACTATAAAACTGTATGTGTGATTTTTGTTTTTGTGAATGCCGATTTTTTTTTTTTTGTGCTTGCAATTTCTTTTTGAGAAAACAATTTCTGCATTGGAGCAAACCGTCAATAGACGTCACAGGATCACACAGACATTAAGAAACGATCCTGCGCAGAGTTGATCCACTGTTCATTGTCACATCCAAATGTAACATGGCAGAGGACACAACATAAATAACGTGGCTCAAAATCAGGTAATATAAAAATAATTGATCATTTTGGTCGTAAATGAATGTGAATAAATATTAATTCCATAAAGTGAGCATGAAAGATGTTTCATGTCCCCTAAGGTTTTTTGGCATGTGTTAGCTCCAAAGCTAGTGTAAATATTCTTATCCTTATATTGTTTGAATTCTACAGAAAAATAATGCATTTATATGATCTAACACAACAGACTAAGACTACTTTAGCTGAACTAGTTGATAAAAGTAATGTGTCAAAGGTACAAAATATAAGATTGAGGCGCACGGGGTCTGCAACGTCCTACAACCGAGAGATAAAGCACTGAGGTTTCTTCATATTGCTCAAGGCAGTAACAGCGCGAACTATGAGTAATCAGGAGGAATTGGGGCTGGTAACAACCTGGGGAGGGTCCCGGCTCAAAACTGGCAAAAAATGACGTGCGCTGACATGCTGCAGTAACACCCCGGGCCGGTGGGGGTGGACACAGAAGTAGAATTAGCCAATGCTAACATATTAGCGTTGGCAGACCTCCTCCAAAACCGTCTTTATAACAGGATGGACCACAAGATTGGCTCTATGGCCAAAGCTCCGTTTCCACATGTGTGTCAAGGCGAGGGGGTGTTTTGGTCCACTCCTAGTTTACTTGCTGTGAATTTTTAATCACTCGATTCAAATGAATGGAGCTGCTGCTCCGCTGACGCACGCGATGCGTTTTTTTTCACAGTTTCTTGTGGGCCGGGACCACTCGCAGGGCCCATTTTTGGATTGCTCAAGTAGACACATTTTTGGCCCATTAGTTAGAACGGCGGAGATAGCGTGACTCGTCCATTACTATATACAGATCTAATGGTATCAAGCACTTTAAAACCACATGGAATCGGTGGCAAAGGCTTCATTAAATGTAAAGCAAAGAATGTAAAAATGTTGTTTTAAAAATATCATGCTAAGCAGTAAAACTAGCATTTGAAGCTAGTAGTTAACTAAACACAGCCTAAAAAAAAAAAAACGTTTTCGAGAGTACAAGAAACATCTTATGCACACATTTTTTTGGAATTAATATTTTCTTACACATTTATTAACGGACCAAAATGAATCAAATATAGTTATATACCTGAGTTTATAGCCAAATTGTTAATGTTGTTGCCCTCATGCCATGATCGCTCCCCTTGCGCAAGCTCGATTGTTAATGTCTGTGAGCAGTGACGTATTATTCAGAATCAGAATCAGAATCAGAATCAGAATCATTATTATTGCCAACGTAAGTAACAGGAGGTCACAGACATGGAAATTGATATTGGCTCAGTGCAACAGTTCAAAAAAGAGATAATAAAAATAAGAATAAAAAAACACTTCTAATAGAATAAATTTAAAAGTAAAATAGAGTTAACAGTTACATTTACAATATAACAAGTGCCTACATGGTGCAGTTTTGCTACGCTGCGGATATCGTATCTTAAAAAGAAAATGCAGCACAAAAAAAACGCATCACAAAAACAAAATCACACATACAGTTTTATATTTTTTTATTCTTAATTACGAAATTCATGAAATTTTTGTTTATTATCTTAATCATGAATAAATAAAATATTGTTTATGCACAAATACCAATAAATATGCAAGATTTTTTTTGTAGACATGCAACGTCTTTATTGACAGTAACCTTCCCCCCATATAGAACCCCTGCTTCTTCAGTCACACTTGAAAGCGTTGCATGGTGTTTAAATCAGTTACAATGTGTCATTCACTCGCCTGTGGCTGGCGAGGACGTTTGCGTCTCCACGGTGCGTATTTGGCAAAACCATGGACATAAGGAGCCAGTCGCTTAAAGGACAACTAACCTCAAATTCCACTTTTATTTGCTGATAAACGGATAAATGAGTGTCCAATAGTGTTGGTCCCACAAAATAAAACCCCCCCCCCCCCCCCCTGGGTCATATCTTGTCACTTTGGTGCCAAATAGTTTTAAAGTTAGACTTTCTGGCCTAAAACCGTCCGTGAGGCAGCCATCTGCTGGCGACCTGTATAACTACATTTGAATTTGGAATCTGCGCCAACACTGGCACAGAAGTTTGGACCTGACGTCAGCAGCCCCCCGCCCAGAGCACTGTAAACGGACCAGTCTCGTTCACGCACCCCTTTATCCTCCAAGCTACGCCCATTAAGAGAAGAAGGAATGAACAGAAATATGAGTGACGTAAACTCCGAGAGCGGGGTGAGAACCACTATTAAGTGCACCTGTCTGGTCATGATGACCACAGCTCATTTGCATGGACATTTGGACTCTCGTAGTGTGCTCATAATTTATTTTAGTATTGTATATTTGTCAAAGTAGAATTTAAAAGTGAAATCATGAACCTAAGGAAAGCGCCATGTATTGTAGAAATGGTTTTTTATTAGATGATTGGTTTTGTAATGTGGGAGGGCCGCAAGCTACAATAAGGTGTCTGCCCCTTGGCCAGTACGTGACTGCGGATACAGTGAAGGTAACGTGGACTGCAGGAGCGAGTGTTAAGAAAGGGAACAGAGACTTTAGCCGAAGCGTGTATATATTTTATTTGTTCATATCCTTTTCGCTGAGACTTTTCACTGTGGCTCTGTAAATCCTTTTGTAATTTCCCACTGTTTTTTTTTTCTACTGAAGTTTTTATTAAAAAACTTCTGAAAACCCCTTTCCTCCCGACCCAGCCATGTGTTCTGTAAAAAGACCCATCACAGAACATTTCTGATTAGCTTGAGTCAAACAAAAACTTTTAATGTTTCTGTTTATTATGGAACATGTACAAAACAAACTTCTCTGGCCTGTCAAAGAGTCAAACAAAATCTACGTTTTTCTATAATTCTATTTGTTTATTTACAGTGCTATCTTGTTATTCCACTCCATCGCTCTCATCTCTCTCTCTGTCTCTACTCTCCTTTCATTTCTCCTTGTCCTGTGTCTCTCTCTGTCTCTGTCCCTCTTTTTCCTCTCTCTCCCCTCTTTCTTTCTGTCTCTCTCACTCTGTCTCCTCTCTCATCTCTCACTCTGACTCACTCTCTTCTCTCTCTACTCTCTGTTTACTCTCTGTTTCTCTCTCTCTCTCATCAGCTCACTCTGTCTCCTCTCTCTCTGTCTCTCTCTCTCTTTCTATTTCCTGTTTCTGACCTCTTTTATCTCTCTCTCTCTCTTTTCTCTCACTGCTCTTCTCTCTCTCTCTCTCTCTCTCTTCTCACATCTCTTTTCTCTCTCGCCTCTCTCTCTGTCTCTCTCTGTCTCTCTCTGGCTCTGTCTCTCCTCTCTCTGTCTCTCTCTCTCTTTTCTATTCTCTGTTTCTGTCCCTCTTTTTCTCTCTCTCTCTCTTCTCTCTCTGTCTCTTCTCTCTGTCTCTCTCTCATCTCTGCTTTATCACTTTTTCTCTCTCTCTCTCTTCTCGTCTCTCACTGTCTCTCGCTCTCTCTGCCTCTCCTCTCTTTCTATTTCTCTGTTTCTGTCCCTCTTTTTCTCTCTCTCTCTCTTTCTCTCTCTTGGGTTTTCTGTCTCTTCTCTCTCTCTCTCACTCTCTCTGTCTCTCTCAACTTCCCTCTCTCTATCTCCTCCTCTCTGTCACTCTCTGTCTCCTCCTCTTGGGCTCTCTCTGGTCTCCTCTCTCCTCTCTCCAACTCTCTCTCTCTCACTCTGTAGAGCAGCTGTTGTGGGTTATAGATGACCTCATTAGAATGCGGCCCGCGGCCGGTCGGGGGAGACTTTGATGACTTCTCCAAAAATGCAACGGCACCAACCTCCACCACGTTCTCGAGTGCCAAAGAAGCGCCAAAAAAACGCTCCAACGGTTTTCGCTCTCAAAGTGAAGGAGAGAAGAAAACGGTGAAGAGTGATAGGAACATCGTGATGTTCCTAAACGTACCAGCACTTGATGAAATATCAGGTTGTTTTTTGAAATGGTTCGTCATTCAGATCATTCAATTCAATGTATTTTTGATACACAGCAAGTATGGCCTGGTCGTACCACACCCATCATACTCATTTCATTTCATGCAGATGTCTGTAATTTTCTCCACAGAGACCCCATGAACAGGTGGGCGGGTTAACTCCCTTTTGCAGATTGAAACGATTGGATATGAGTTTTTATTATCGTGCCTGAATACTCAATAACCATTTAAGCATTTGGCCTAGCTTTAGGCATTTAGCCTAGCTTAAGCCATCTCGGAGCCCGTGGGATTGAGCAACAACATCTTTGCATCAATGACTTTTTTGCTAAACAATCCTTTGCTCGCTTCAATTTCTTGATCTTTGGAGCTGAACCAGAACAGGTTATTTTACTATCCATTCTCTCTATTGTTAAACAACAACCAGAAAATTTTGCCGCAAACTCTGACATCCCCCCGACACATCCCTCACTACAAAACCTCTCCTCCCCTGCTCTCTGATTGGGTCTGTGCAGGTGATTCAACCGAGGAAACTGGCAGCCCCCTATGATCGACCCAACGAACATGGTAGGTAATATCACGACCAGTAGTTTTTTGTAAAATATCAACTGTTTTTTACATATTCTTTTGTTGATAAAGTTCATAACATTTCTTTGAATGTAGAACGCCCAGGATGAGGAACGAGCATCTCCCATGGAGTACTCCAGGCCGGGAAGACAAGTCCACAGGGGCCTATGGAGGAGGCCGGGGGACAGTGGCGAAAAGACAACGGGACACCCACCTGCGTACGGCACAACCATGCCCCAAAACATCTGGCCCGTTGCCAAACTTAGAGCCGTCTAAAGCAAACAACTATCACGGCTCATGTTCCCATGTATTCACTAGGTGCTGTCTTTATCTTTTATATCAGCGGCAGCAGCTGCATTCTCAAGCCTTCATTAGACAATAATGCACCATCTGAAATGTGACTTTACACGTGACCATAATCTTAATACTTGCCGACAAAATATGGCATAATGACACGAAAACGGTTATTTTCCAGAACCGACACTAAGAATTTACAATTTTTGTGTTGGCATTAAATCTAGTCAAAATCTAGAGGGAGCAAGTTTTTAATGAGTCCATCCAGGATTTGGTTACTAAAATCAGAGCTACATTTTAAAAATCTAAGGTTAGCCTTCTGGGAGTTTGTTGGCAAGGCTGAGGAAGGCAAAGTTTAGATAGCAGATTTCATACACACCAAAAAAGGCAACTGAAACAAAATAAGAAAAGCATTAAATCATCTAGAAAACTTGCAATGGCTGAAGCCATTGCGATTTGGAACTGCGTAACAGATCTAATGTGGAAATCTGCAAAAAAAAAGCCTTGAAATCCTTTAAAAGGCCTTGAAACTGTTAAAATACTTGATAGATATTGAAACTCCTGAAGTCCTTGAAAATTGTTGAAACCTTTAAACTCCTGAAATCCTTGAAACTGTTGAAACATTGAAACTCCTGAAATCCTTGAAACGTTTTTTAAAACCTGGAAACTGTGTTGAAAGTGTGGAAACTCCTGAAATCCTTGAACCTCCTGATATCCTTGAAACTGGTTTAAATTCTTAAACATTGAAATCCTTGAAACTACTGAATTTTGGGTTTAATTGAAATGTCCTTGAAACTGAAAAATCCCCTCACCGCTGAAACAATTTGGTTCCTGTAACTAAGGGAAACCTGGTCTGTGGTCATTATCTGGTGGATGGGTCCTGAGTCTTCGTATTGGGTCTTGGTCTGTGGTATAATGCATCCTATTAGGTTGCATTATACTGGTTTTACATGGAAAAATCCCTATTAGGTTGCATTATTACTGTTTACATGGAAAAAAATCCCTATTAGGTTGCATTATACTGGTTTACATGGAAAAATCCCTATTAAGTTGTCTTTATAACAGGTTGAAAACCCCTATTATACTGGTTTACATGGAAAAATCCCCTATAAGTCCAATATACTGGTTTCCATGTAAAAAACCCATTAAGTTGCATTACAGACTGTTTACAAGAAAAAAAAACCCTATTAAGTTGCATTATACTGGTTTACATGGAAAAAACCCTATTAAGTTGCATTATACTGGTTTACATGGAAAAAAATCCCCATATAAGTTGCATTATACTGGTTTACATGAAAAAAAATCCCTATTAAGTTGCATTATACTGTTTACATGGAAAAATCTCCCTATTAAGTTTCATTGGTACTGGTTTACATGAAAAATCCCTATTAAGTAGTTGCCATTATAACTGGTTTACAATGGAAAAAACCCTATTAAGTTCCATTATACTGGTTTTACATGTAAAAAACACCCTATTAATTGCATTATACTGTTCACATGAAAAAAAACCCTATTAAGATTGCATTATACTGGTTTACATGGAAAAATCCCTATTTAAGTTGACATTAAATACTCGGTTTACATGTAAAAATCCCCACTTAAGTTGCATTATACTGGATTACATGAAAAATCCCTATATAAGTTGCATTATACTGGTTTACATGGAAAAAAATCCCTATTAAGTAGCATTAATACTGGTTTACAAGGAAAAATCCCCATTAAGTTTCATTTAAACTGGTTTACATGAAAAATCCCCCATTAAGTTGCATTATACTGTTTACATGAAAAAAACCCTATTAAGTTGCATTATACTGGTTTACAAGTACAAATCCCTATTAAGTTCATTATACTGGTTTACATGTAAAAACCCCTATTAGTTCCATTATACTGGTTTAACATGTAAAAACCCCTATTAAGTTCCTTAATAACTGGTTTACATGTAAAAACCCTATTAAGTTTGCATTATACTGGTTTACAATGAAAAAAAAAAACCCTATTAAGTTGTCAATTATACCTGGTTTAACATGGAAAAATCCCTATTAAGTTGCCATAATACTGGTTTACATGTAAAAATCCCCTATTAAGTTCCATTATACTGGTTTACATGGAAAAAACCCTATTAAGTTGCATTATACTGGTTTACATGAAAAAAATCCCTATTAAGTTGCATTGTACTGGTTTACATGGAAAAATCCCTATTAAGTTGCATTATACTGGTTTACATGGAAAAATCCCCATTAAGTTGCATTATACTGTTTACATGAAAAATCCCTATTAAGTTGCATTATACTGGTTTACATGAAAAAAACCCTATTAAGTTGCATTATACTGGTTTACATGGAAAAATCCCTATTAAGTTTGCATTATACTGGTTTACATGGAAAAATCCCCATTAAGTTGCATTATACTGGTTTACATAAAAAAACCCTATTAAATGCATTATACAGGTTTTAACATGAAAAAATCCCTAGTGATTCAAGTCAACGAGTAACACCCACCGGCAAATACACACCGACAAACTATAATGCTGCGTTCAGACCAAACGCGATTTGGGCGGCGAAATCGCCCGTGCCGCGCGTGCCGCAATGCTTGTGCTTTTTGACTCCAGACGCTGGACCAAACACTCTGCCGCGCGGCACGCGCGGCCGATCAGAAAACAGCGCGCTTTGGGGAGGGGCTTCTCTATTGCCATAGTTCAACATGGACGACATAGAGCAGGTAGCTTTGCTTTGCCTTTTGAACCGTGCTAGACAACGTCGTCAAAGGGCGCAACGGCGACGTGTGTGGATTCATCCGATTGTCCGCGGGCGTAGGGAGTTTGGTGAGTTTCACCATTTGCTACAAGAGCTGCGCTCGGATGAGAGTCGCTTTCAGCGATACTTCCGTCTCTCCCTGGCCCAGTTTGACGACCTGTTGACCCGCATCGGTGCTCGCATCACCTACCAGGACACCAACTACAGGCGCTCAATTCCACCTGAAGAGCGCCTGTCCATCTGCCTACGGTAGTTTTACCCCATTCTCAATTATTAAATACTTCCAAAGTGTGCAATTTTTCTACCTATTCACATTTGAATAGCTCAGAAATTACTATATTTAACAATATGGCGTCTGCTTGTTACTAATTTTATATTGAATATCAAGACTAGTCACATACATTATCTTATTTTTAATTGTTATGTACAATATTATTTGCAGATTTCTTGCCACTGGGGACTCCTACAGGAGCATCGCAGGGAGCTTCAGGGTGGGCATTTCCACTGTCTCCGGGCTCATCCCAGATGTGGTGGCAGCCATCTGGGACTGCCTCGTGGGAGAGTTCATGGCTGTGCCTGGAGCAGAGGAGTGGAGGTCGATAGCGGAGGAGTTCGAGGCCAGGTGGAACTTCCCTCTGTGCTGTGGTGCCATAGCGAACTATCTAAATGACGTCACTAAGACACGCCCCCGCCGCCTGTCAACTCCCGCCCACATGTTTCGGACAAACACTGCCGAAATGAATCAAATACCACTTGTCACTTTAGACGAAAATGAAATACCAGGGGCAAAATTCCACCATCAAACCATCAGGGATCATAGTGTAGACCAATTAAAACGTTGGTTTGAATGTCGTGGTCTGTCACTGGTAGAACATTTGAGTTGATAAAAAGATAATGGTGAGGATTATGCTAACATTATCTAGTCATTTAAATTGCAATGCTAGCGCCTTCTTTGTTTGTTTTGCTGTGATTAACTTCCATTTATCAAGTTTTTTTTTTTTGCACTGTCCACTTTGTAATTAGTTTGATCATTAGTTAGCTACAGTCAGCTGATATTATAACAGATCCATGGGGTCACAACGGGCTACACCACTACTGTCTCTGAGAGAGAAACTATCGGAGCTAGCCACACTCAGTAAACACAAATGACAATCAATCAACACATTTAAATGTTAATGGGAGAATACATTATACATACATTCATAACACAAGTGCACGGAGGTTTTCAGAATTATCTGTTCAGGTTTTCATGACAAAAATACTTTTTTAATGCAACTAAAGCGATCGCTTTTAGGTTAACTATCCTCACTGTTACTCGCCTGCCACGGGAAAACCTGTGGGAACTATTTTCTTTGCACTCATTAAATAAACCTTTCGGCATTAATAGTGAATGACGTTTATTTTGCGTGTTGAGTTGGTACAAAGCCGTATAATAAGCGGACCCCGACGCGCTTCGTCTGAACTTATTTTCAGATAGTCACAAAGTTGACAAAAATCCCTCTCATCTTTCTTCAGGTGTGAGAATTGTATACTTTCTGGATTAGGACAAACAATACTAATATGGATTGATGGGGGTAAATGGTGTAAAGAGAAAGTTTGTGCTAACTACATTCAGAAGAGCTCAGACGGACCAGATCCAGACGGTCCAGGTCCAGTCCCAGCTAAACGTAGCTAGGACTGGATCTGGATACTCCACAGTTGGTCCAGCGAAGTGTTTTGAAAAAACATGTGTCCTTTTTAACCTTTTCATGAGAGAAATTCTGCCGACCACAAGCACCCACCTCTTGCACTTGTCCTGGTCTGATCTGGTCCTGGTCTGGTCCTGATCTGGTCCGATGTTGTGGTTTAACGAACAGGTTGAATGTTACTTTGATAGTCCTTTTCAGAGTATCTGAAATCGCTCCGACAAGTACCATAACTGCAGTGTTTTGTTGTCACCATGATTTAATGATTTAGCCCAAGTAAATACACACGCGTATGAGGAGAACACAGTAGTACTCAACGAGTCGTACACAATGTTTGTCCGAAACATGCGCGCATGCGCAGTCATCTGAGCTATTTTTAGCACATTTCGGAAACCGGACAGTGCCCTATTGATGGGAAACATGTGGCCCTGAAGGCACCCCCCAACTCTGGGTCCTTGTTTTTTAATTACAAGGGGCACCATTCGTTGGTTCTCCTTGCTGTAGTGGATGCCCAGTACAGGTTTCGGGTCATCGATGTGGGAGG